TATATATATATATNTATATATATATATATATATATATATATATATATATATATATATATATATATATATATATATATATATATATAGACCCCAAATTTTTTTTGCCCTGCAGTGGCATAGTTAACTTCAGCATTTGTTGTGTTTTGCTGTGGTGTGATGCGTTACACGACAAATACCCCCAAATCGTACATATACAGAGTGTTATATAGATGGTACTGTATGTGCAGAACAACAATTGTTGTACTCCGCAGGACAAGGGTTAACACCTGATTGGAGATACCAGTGTTGGTTAATGATTTTTTTTCACACAACGTTAAATACAGCGGAGGCTTAGCCTGGATGCCAGCAGTTTTTTGCTTTAGTGCACTATCAGTCTCAGTGACCCATAGGGCATACTAAAGATAAAAAGGCTGGCATCTAAATAAACATTTCGTTTTACCATTACATTAGTGGCAAAGTTTGAGCATGTTCATTATGTCATGATCATGATGATAATGTCAATCACGATTTTTTTTGCATATTATTAACTAAAGTTAAAGTTTTAACTGTAAAAACGTAACTACGGTACTCTCTTCGCCAAAAGCAATTACTCAAGCAACAGTTACTGGATATGATTTTGAAAACGTTAGACGTTTCAGCTAGTATCCACTATCTTTTGTCAGTGACTGAGAGACCAGAGGGGAAATGCAGGACTTTTTTAAACTGTTGATTGATATGCAGATAAAGTGAAGACAAATTTTTGGAAGTCGAAAAAGGAACAAAAGTCAGACAAGTCAAGACAAGATAATGCAAATTAGTCAGAAAGCTCCTGTTATACTCTCTTCCTTGTATCCACTGCAGGACCACAGCTGCATCCTGCACAGCATTGTGGGATGGAACAGCACGGTTGGCGCCTGGACCCGCGTGGAGGGCACGCCCTCTGACCCCAATCCCAACATCCCCTTCGCCAAGCTGGACTCCGGAGAACTGTTCAGCGAGGACGGACGGCTCAACCCTTCCATCACCATCCTGGGTAGGCTCACGGTTCACATACATGCAGTAGCGAAGTATAACAGGAAGGTTTGTTAAGAAATTGCCATGGAATATTTAATTTGAATGTGTTTTGCTTGTGCTGCAAGATTTGAATACTGGATTTTTGGACATAGGAAGGGAGGATTTGGCCAAGAGGTCAAATCCCCTGCTTACTCTTAACCCTCCTCTAGGCAGGGAGGTCAGTCACCCTGATCAACATCTTCAGAGATTCCTCATGATCAAATTGTTTTTTTTTAATGTTTTCTCAACTTTGTCTCAATTAAGGATATCCCAGGCAGAATGGAGATTGTTACAACATCTGTTATTCAGGGACACCAAATTTTCTCAACTTATAAGCACATTTTGCATTGACAGAGAAATGTAATGGATATGACGTAAATAGATTTTAAAGTTGTCCCAGCCCTCCCTCAGCTCTTCGAGCAATCATTCTGACTTGCGGTCTGGCTGACACCTGTGTAATATTCTATTGTCTATAACCTGCGGGAATCATGATTGACGTATTTCCTTTATTCTCCAGGTCGTAACGTGACCATCCCACCGGAGGTGATTGTGCTGAACTCCATCGTCCTGCCTCACAAAGACCTGCCGCACAGCTACAAGAACCAGATTATCCTCTAGGGCTTCTAACACAAGTCTCTATACCAGACTAACAAAGTCGGTTGAGAAATAGTCAGATTTAGCACAAATTTTGCAACGCAACAAACTTAACGCAAATCAGGGAAGGCACGCTGTGTCTCTCCTTGCCAATATGTATGTTTGAAATTGTAACAAACAACAAACGATTTCACAATTTAGCCAAACGGGGAGAATAATTTGCCTTTGGGGAGTTTGGCCAGAGGATTTCATTTTCCCCCTTGCAGTAAAGGGGGACAGTTTCGACATAATGTATCACACTACAAAATGTTGACAGCATTGATACAGATCAAATTACTGGTTCATCAGCACATGCAGAACTGACTTGTACTTTGGAAGAGATATTGAGATTTTACCAAAAGACTTAAAATATTAAAAAATTATTTTTTGCTCAATTTTGTATGGTGAAGAATGGTGAGAATATCAGAAGTACAGGAATTAACCAATGGTGGAAATGCCTTGTTTGGGGTATGTTAAAACCTCTATTTAAATAATTAAAGACAATGGCTGTAAGGCCACACCAATTTTATTTCTTGGTTAACGGATTCGCCCGCTTCATTTTTTTCTGATTTGAAAATAAAAATAAAAATTCAGAATCAACTGCAAAATGCTCATATTTTGCCCTGAACAGTTGAAAACAGTCCTTTTTTTCCTAGTTGTTACAGTTATTCCATCTTTCAATACAGTGGTATCATTAAAAGTTCAAAATTCATTGTTTAAATTTTGAACCAGTCTGGTGTGTTGACTTCATGGCTCCTATCGTACCATTTTGGGCCATAATAGGATCCCTAGGCCTGTTTTTATTTTTTCGCCCGCCCGCTCCATTATTATTGTAGAAAAATCCGTTAACCAAGAAATTAAATTGGTGTGGCCTAAGGTTCCAACATACAGATATTTAATGTACATAATTTCAAGAGTCAAGAATTGGAGTAAGAAAATGTATTCTAAGAGATGCTTACAACTTGCGATACATTTAACTCTGAATTCATTTTGTACGGCTTTATATGATAAGTTTAATATGCAAATACTCTACGATAAGCAAGCCGACATTTACATGACATCTAATAGGCAACATAAATTTAATCTGTTGGTTCTCAGATTTTTTCATTAAAAAATATGAAGCGACAGGGCGAAAAAAAAAATAAATGAGAACAGGTCTAGGCATCCCATTATAGCTCCAAATGCTACGGTAGGAGAGAGAGCCATGAAGTCAACACAAAAGGCTGGGTTAATATTTAAACAATGAATTTGATCTTTTAATCAAACCACTCCATTGATAGATGGACAAACTGTAACAGCTAGGAAGAAAACTAGGACTTTCTTTAACTGTTGGGGGCAAAACATTAGCATTTTTTAGTTGATTCAGAACCAAAATCTTTGTTTTTTTTTGCAAATCAGAAAAAATTGAAGAGGCGAATCCGGGAACCAACAAATTACATTGTAGTGGCCTTACGAGAGATAAAAAGAGAGTGATCTGGTCTAGTTTCCATCATAAAGTTTATAGCACAAATTCTGTACATGATTACATGAAAGTTAATCAGTAGGCGAGAGAGAATTCAATAATCATTGCCACATTAATTTAATGATCCCAATAATAAATCCACTCACATTTGCTACATTTTTAAAATTTAAAGGCTACCAGTATTTTAACACTATAGAGTGTGGCCCAACTTTTGCTCACCATGCATTGCACAGAAAGGGTATTACTAAACATTCTGCCTTGAACAGGCTTCAGAAGTATCTGGAAATAGTAGAAATCGGCCAAATAGACACTCAGATAACATACCAGGAGGGTTAGTCTGTTTAAGGGCAATTTTATCTGTATATTTGGCCAGTTCCTGCTCTTTCCAGCAACATCTGAAGCCTGGTAGAGTAAATCAGGACCTTCTCAGCATGAGCTCTTGTTCGAAGCCTATGTGTATGTGACAGAATTACTGTAGAACAAGAGTCAACCTCCACAACCAGTATCCAGTGTTTGTACCACAGGGAGGTTTATTGCAAGTCAGTGGAAGAGAACTGGTCATCATCCCAATTGTTAAAATTTCCGAAGTTACATGATCTAACACTTGTAGAAAATCCTACTCACTCTTGCATAATTTTAATAACTACAGACTTGCTATCTATTTACACGATTGTACACTGTTGTATGTTGATGGGCAATGGTAAAAATGATTCATTTTTTTGCAGCATCAAGAAATACAATCATGTATAATTGTTGCCCATTGAGTTCATACATGTATGTGTATGTGTAACGTTACCTGCACGAATCATTGGGGACCTTATCAATAATTTCACAGAAAACACATTTCACTGGGTGTTACAAAAACTTGTTTTATGATGCAAGTTTATATCATATTTAGAAATATAGCAAAATAGAAATAAATTGTTAATATTAAGATATTGAATAAAAAAGTACAAATAAAAAAAAGATCCTTAATCCAGCCTGCACATTACAATCATTGTACTGACAGTAACAAAATTGTTAGCTTAATAATTATGCATCCTTCAAGAATCTAAATTCAATCTACCTAATAATAGTATTTACAATTTCATATCTACTTTATACACTGAAGATCTTGATATTAAAACACAGAGTATCTAGAAGGTAGAAAAGCTACCCAATACAAAAATATCCTACATTTAATCCACACCAGTTCGTTTCATTGTTTTTTGGACATTGCAAAGTTTACGTCGAAGTGAAAACCGAGGGTTAGGAGGAAAGATTGCATCTGACTATCTTCCCACGCTGAAGCTGTGAGAACCAAGATTTTCTGTTTTAATGTCAATCTTCAAGCTCAGAATTATTTCCTTCATATCTACGAAACAACGAATTGAACTGATGTGGCCTAGTCATCGGCAGGAAAGTTGCAAGAAGACATTATAACATGATGTACATATAATGTATAATTATGTTATGTCTCATAGGCTAACTACATGTAATATAAGCTAACTAAATATAATGCAAAATATTCCCTCTGTATTTCTTGATGACACACTTGGTAATGAAATAAAAAACATCCTTTTCCTGCATGATCAAACTAAAAATATAATGATGTGCAAAACATTACAAATGCTGGTATACATGTACAATGTAGGGATGATGCAACAACAACAACAAAATTTTGGGTTGTATTTTGATGAGAAAAAGTTGAAATGGTGACACGGACTGCATAAGACTTTGCAGTTCGAGAGATGCAGTGTAGCAGTCCTGGTGGGGCTTGGAGAGTAACTTCTGTACTGGAACATACATCAACTTTGAAACATTGAAAATTACCTGCACCAGAGAAATTTTACGTGCACTACTCAAAGTTTAGCAAGTATGAATATGAATAAAATCTGTTCAGAAACCATATTGCCATTTCTTTTATACTTCATACAGTCAGTGGTAACAGTCAGTGCAGCAAATAAAAATCCATGTAAACTTACATGTACAGTTACTGTACGTATAAACCCAGTACATGGACCAGTGCAGGTAGACATCAAAAATACCTGCACAGCTCCAACTTCACCTAGCCTGCACAAATCTGCATATGCAGGTGGTACACATGTACATGTATTTCCATCCCTGACCCTGTAAAGATTACCCTGGATGCCAAACTAGTATCAGGCCGTTAGCCATTTTCCCTTGGCAGCCAAGAACCCTTCGCCCTACTATTACTAGTAATAGGGCTGGACAAACCCCTCGGGCTCAACTCCCCCGTAGCGGTAATTTAGATAGGCGGGCGACGGGCTCTTGGCTGCCGAAGGAAAACGGCTAACGGCCCGATACTAGTTTGGCATCCAGGGTATGTAAAGATGTACATTGTATGTTTCAGTACAGAAGTGTGTCTAGTCCAAGCTCTTGTGCTCCGACTGCTACACACATCTCCCGCTGCATGACTTGGTGCCGGGCTGCGGGGACTTCTCGTAGTCGCCCCTGTTCAGGTGGATTCTCTCGTCCATCATTGTGGCAGCATCCGGCCTCTGGAAAGAATGAAAACAAAAATTTGCAAAGCAAAAACATTTGCAAAGCAAATACATAATGTTTACCTTCGGACATGGTCTGCCCTGTTAATTTTTACTCAAACACATTCACATACCTGTACTACGAGTATATGGTGACAGGAGCAGAGCAGACCATGAAATTGCAACATTATGTAACCCAACACGAGTCACCGTGGTGACAGACGTCAACAAATCATGTCATTGGTCAGGTCATAGGTCACTGTTTGGAGAAGAAGAAGAGGAAGAAACTGTGCAAAAACAATATGTTTTCCTTCGGTAAACATAATTAATGAAGAAACATATCTTTAACTGTTCCTCATTGAACGTGTCGACCTGCTCTATTTTGAATACTTCTGTCAAAATGTAGCTGTGATACATGCAGTCAATGCAGTGGAAAACCTGTCACAGATATGTATAACCACAAGGAAGATATGGATGGACAACATAAGGGAGGACTTTAACCTACATAACGTGAACCTACAGGATAGAGGCAAATGGTGGGCTGCCATCAAGCCTCAGCATCAGTGTGTAAGCACATCCACATGTTAGAGAATACAAATGTAGTTAAACCTTTTTTGTTACAGCATACATATACTCGAGTCTGTATGTAACATTGTAAGATGACGTTATCCACACATGTATGTAGCTTTGTTAGATCTTTAGTTGTAAAACTTCAAGGCATACTTTTTTGTTGTGTCAATAAAGAATCTAATCTCTAAACCTTGAAAGTCGGGGAACAACATACATGTACGCTAAACGTATAGTGAGTGAGTGACTTTACACAATGTCATGCACTATCCACCCACAGTAAGCTGCATCATTGAGTAACTCACCTTCCGCAGAATGCTCTCCACCAGGTCCCTGAAGGCATGCTCGATGCCTGTGTTGGTCTTAGCGCTCACCTCAACAAAGTTGATGTTGTACTCAACAGCAAACTAGCGGGAGAGGAAAAAAAAACTTGACAATGCATCTGATTTTCATAAGATAAACCTTATTGCAACACAATTGGACATTAAGGTATAATGCATGGCGTCTGCTATATGGTATCGCTATATTACAATACACTACGGGGAACAACAGACGATAAACCGGATAGAGCGAGATACGTTGTACTTTGGGACTAATCTATATCATATTACAAAAGACTAAAATTTATATAGTATGGGGTGAGACTGGGCTTTTACAATCCATGGTTGAATTTCTAGGCCCTTTAGGCATTTTTCGAGATTGTCCTTTGTGTACAAGGCTGTCACGTGTCATAGAAGTTGCTGCCTGAATCCAGTTATAGAAATTGTGGTATGGAATCTTTGAACAACTATGTAATGTCTTAACCCTTGTCCTGCTGGCAATTTTTACATAATATTTTCAAATAATTTCATGTCTTAATCAGGTCACAGACCCTTGACTTTTTTTGGCCCGCGGTGGCGTAGTTACTTCCGCATTCGTTGCGTTTCGCTGCGGTGTGATGCGTTGCACGAGAAACACCCCCAAATCGTACATATACAGGGCACTATATAGATGGTACTGTATGTGCAACCCATATATATATGGGCTCCGCAGGACAAGGGTTAATATGTACTCCAGTCTCTCCTGTAAGAATAGCTGTCACCCTCTGGTGGGCAGCTAAAGGAGAGTTTTTCCTCAATAAACCTCACAATTTAAAAATATTTTGGACATAAATTCATGAAGTGATGTTCACGTACCTTTTCTGCTCTCTCCCTGGGGACCTCCCGTAACACTTCCTGGTCACACTTGTTTCCCAGCAGGTATCTCTCCACATCATGGGAGGCGTACTGAGGAAAAAAAAAGTACTGTTGAAGAAAGTGTTTGTCTTCCTATATTCACAATTTGGCCATGGGTAATTACAGAATTTAGGAAGTATGTCAGTAATAACTGTTCAGAAACCATTGCCATAATTGATTAATTATTTCTTTATATTCTAAATACAGCAATCTAACATCCATATCCATAATATCACCAGGGTCCATATATAATATCGCCACCTTGAGAAAAAGTGTGCTTAAAGATATTTTTACTGCAACATACCCTGGGTATGTACATTTGAGGTGTGCAGGAGTGCATACCAAAAGTATGTTGCAGTAAAAATATCTTTATTATAAGCACACTGTTTCTCAAGGTGGCGATATTATGGACCCTGGTGATATTATGGACATGGATGTTATATAATTATAAACCCAGTACATGGACCAGTTCAGCTACAATTTTACCTGCACTAGCCTGCATATACCCAGTGAGTACATGCAGGTTAGGTACAGATAGACATCAGAAATACATGCACAGCTCCAATTTTACTTGCACCAACTTGCATACACAGGTGGTATTCCAAGCGTTGAGATCATATTTGTGTGCACTTGTTGCATGACATTGTGATGAGATGACTGGAATAACTTTAATTGCCCTGTAACTGAGATGACTGATTTCTCACCACATCTACTTGGTTGAGCCACTTGGGAATGCTGACAAAGGTGTGTTCCCTGGTGATGTCATACACGAGTAGGACCCCGTCTGCCCGGTGGTAGTACTGTGTGGTGATGGTGTTAAACTTCTCATGCCCTGCTGTATCCCTGGAACATACAATCATGTAACACTGTAACATACACTGTAACATACATGTAACACTGTATACACAATACACAGTTATACCTACAGTGTGTGGTAGTACTGTGTGGTGATGGTGTTAAACTTCTCATGGCCTGCTGTGTCCCTGGAACAGGCATGTAAACAATCTTATCATACATAACGCTAACGCCGGTCACACAGTCACACCTGTAACTGGCCAGCTTCTCATGGCCTGCTGTGTCCCTGAAACATACATGTTATGATGTAACACTGTAACATAAGTGTGACACTGTTACATATGTGTGATGCTGGTCACACTGGTACAATGATATTTTGCTTTAATGATTTATTCAATTTTAATTTCAAGCTGACACATCAATCAGACTTTTAAGATCTCAGTTAAACTCTTAAGCTTGGTATCGTCTACCCTGGATGACAAAACTAGTATCGGGCCGTTAGCCGTTTTCCTTCGGCAGCCGAGAGCCCTTTGCCCGCCTGCCTAAATTACCGCTACGGGGGAGTTGAGCCCGAGGGGTTTGTCCGGCCCTTTACTAGCCAAACTCTCCCCGAGCTAGACTTCCCCGTAGCGGTAATTTACACCAGCGGGCGAAGGGCTTTTGCGGTCCGGAAAACGTGTTCTGGTTTCAAGGGTAGGTATCATCCCCCTCAGTGTCACAATCACAAGCTTTTTTTAATTGTTAAGGCCACACCAATTTAATTTGTTGGTTCTTGGATTTTTTCAGAAGAAATATGAAGCGACAGGGCGAAAAAAAATAAAAATAAAAACAGGTCTATGCATCCTATTATAGGCTTAAATGCTACAAAATGAGTCATGAAGTCGACACAAAAGGCTGGGTTGAAATTTAAACATTGAATTTTGAACTTTTAATCAAACCACTGCAATGATAGATGGGAAAACTGTAACAAAAGCTAGGAAGAAAAGGACTTTCCTCAACTGTTGGGGGCAAAACATGAGCATTTTTCAATTGATTCAGGACCAGAATAATTTTTTTTTTTTTTGCAAATCAGAAAAAAATGAAGAGGCGAATCCGAGAACCAACAAATTAAATTGGTGTGGCCTAACAAGTGAGAATACACATCATGTTGTACATGTGCCTGTAAAATATCAGTATGTAAGATAATATAGCAGAGACTGCTGCACTTACCATATTTGAAGTCGTATTCTCTTGCCGTACATCTCAAATATTCTAATTTTGAAGTCAATGCCTGAAACACAACAAGAATCACATGTCATGAACAGCAGAACAGACGATTAAGGGTACAGCAGCTCCCAACCTTCGTTACGATTCAGGAAGGTTGGGAGCTGCCCAAGTCCTATTTACGCCTACTCCACAAGGAGGCGGGGAAGGCCAGAAGATCCACACAAGTCTCGACCTAGTCTCGTGCTCTCGCGAGACTTTTTTAAAGGTCACTCCGTAATCAAGATGTACAGTGGACATCGAAAATTGGAGGTAGGTGTTTCTACCTTTCAAAAACAGTCACTGATTGAAGAATATTCTACTGACTGAAATCTTAAATACTAGTAGTAGTACTAACGTGACAGTGTATTTGCTAGGATTTGGCTAGAACCTCATCCTTACCTACAGTAGAGATGGGATCCTCATATTTGTCCTCAGTGTTGATGTTACATGATTAAGTCTTACCTACAGTAGAGATGGGGTCCTCATATTTGTCCTCAGTAAACCTGTTGATGATACAAGTCTTCCCCACGCTGGACTCGCCCACCATCACCACCTGCAGCTGGAAGTCATACGGCGGCGCCGGCCCGCGCGGTACTGATAAATCTGGCCGCGACATACTACGGAACACAAGACATCGGAATATATATTAGTTTTTTTTCATAAGACTGGTATAGACCTTCACCTGCTTCCATTTCACTGTCTGTCAGACATCAAAGACCAGAGCTTCTGACAGGCATCGAAATGTTGGAAACAGTCCTTTTATTCCTAGTTGTTACAGTCACATGTATCTTTCAATGCAGTGGTATCATTAAAAGTTCAAAAGTCATTGTTTACATTTTGAACCAGCCTGGTGTGTTGACTTCATACTCCTATCGTACCATTTTGGGCCATAATAGGATGCCTAGGCCTGTTTTTATTTTATTTTTTTTTCGCCCGCCCGCTCCATTATTTTTCTAGAAAAATCCGTTAACCAAGGTGGTGTGCACCAAAATTGGTGTGGCCTGACTAGATGAAATTATTTTCATAATCTGAGATTTCTAGCCTGGGTTCCAGACCCATAGCACACTGGACACAAATATCTCAGTGAGCACTGAGATATTTTGTGTCCAGTGTGCTTTGGGTCTGGCATCCAGGCTAGAGATTTCAGACTTGTGGGAGGTATTAGAGGGTCCCTCATGCAGGCTGAATTCGCCCCATGTCAATCTCTAATTCCTGCTGGCTCCTGGCCAGATCCATTTCCTGTGACTGATCTTTTGACCTGCCATTCTCAACCTGTCTGTCAATCCGGTGGGAGACCCCACCCGAGTGCTATCAACCTACTCTGTCCAGTCAAACCCACAACTGACATGATCAGCCATACAAAACAATACTTCCATATACCTGGAAGTAACAATCATACATGTACATCATACTTGTTTCAACACAATATATCATAACTAGATATATTTGATTATGCTTAAGGCCACACCAATTTAATTTGTTGGTTCAGGGATTTTTTCAGAAAAAATATGAAGCGACCGGGCGAAAAAAAAAAAAATAAAAACAGGTCTAGGCATCCTATTATAGGCTTAAATGCTACAAAATGAGCCATGAAGTCAACACAAAAGGCTGGGTTAAAATTTAAACATTGAATTTTGAACTTTTAATCAAACCACTGCAATGATAGATGGAAAAACTGTAACAACTAGGAAGAAAAGGACTTTCCTCAACTTTTGAGGGGCAAAACATGAGCATTTTTCAGTTGATTCAGGACCAGAATCAATTTTTTTTTTTTTGCAAATCAGAAAAAAGCGAAGAGGCGAATCCGAGAACCAACAAATTAAATTGGTGTGGCCTAACCTTCTATATTGATTGTCTAAGTATTTTTATATTTACTATTATTGACCATGTAAATTTTGACGTTGTAACTTGTATTTGTGTTTTTGTATGGGGGAGGGCAACTTGTAAAGGTGCGTATGCACCTGTTTTGCCCTCCCTTTCACTTTGTGAAAAATCAAAATAAACAAGGAGAAGTCGTAGACATCATCCCTCCATGAAATAGCTTGTTATTTTGTAATCTTTTGGTGTATTTCAATAGAGATATTATGAGTCAAACTGTTATAGAGTTTGCGAATATACTACTGGGGATGGTACCCAGGCTACATTTGCCTGACTGTGTACATGTAGGTCAATGACCAGACAAATGACCTGCAGACCAGACAAACAAGATTTATTTTCCTGCAGACTCTATAGGGGGTAAAAATAGATAGGGCTGCCTGGGTCTTCCTGCCAGCTGGAGGTATAAACAAAAACACTCTGTCCCAACTTTTGGGTCAAACAGACCATCCTATTATGAAGTAGGGGTGAAAAAGTGAAAATCCTTTTAAATCAAGCAATAAAAATATGCGACAACCTGCTAATGCACTCCAAAACACAAAGAGACTCAACAACTACCCACATACCAAAAATCATACCAAACCATCCCCTAGATTTTCCAAACATTCAACACAAAAAGTCCAACATTAAACATTTTGTAAATATCAAACGCAAACAGCTAGGGGACCCAAATTTAAACCACTAAACCATGGTAATAACAACTACATGCTACCTTAATATCGCACAAACAGTCCATAACGCGAAAACAACAGAATAAAAAAATTAAACTGCAGTACCAAGGTCAATCACCAGGGGCTCAAAGTCAACCTACACAATCTCCAAGGCCCCATCCATCAATCTGCCAAATATCGTACAGTTCCTTCTCACCGATCTTCAGATATCAGACCAAACATGAAACGGAGTAAAAACAGTACCCCCATTTTCATGGAGGGTAACAAATGTACATTGGTGTATGTCACTCGCAGCCACCTGCATGCAAATATGAGACAGTGGTACATTCTGTTTTTTGTTGTCAATTTTCTACTAGTACCTGACTGCAGATTGTCCTCAGGCTTTCCGTAGGATAATGAAAGAAAAACAACCCATATCATTGTATAAGAACATCACTATGCAGTCACATGGTTACCATACTAGAACATCAGACTCACAGACCATCCGCCTTCCTAAACCTCGAACAAATGCACAGAAAAGAAGATTTTTGTATAGAATGTCCAGTGCCTGGAATGATATGAAGTTGTGATGATGTACATGTATATAGCTTTATTTTAATCTGTTTTGATATGTTGATATGTTTTGTAAATATGTCATGTGTCATGTGTGTCTTGAAGGACCACAGGAAGAATAGCTACATTTGTTGTAAGCTAAATGTGGATCCCAATAAAGTCAAGTCAAGTCAAGTCAGGCATTATGCCTACCTATCTCATACTAGCCACCCACTTTTGTATTAGTTAGGTTAGCCTTATGAAAATGTAGTTGATATGCACACATGTATACTTACTTAACTTAGTAGATTCCATACTATGTACCCTACATACGTGTAACTGTTGCGCAATTAAGTTATTTTTTTGTTGTCAATTTTCTACCTGACTGCAGATTGTCCTCAGGCATTATGTCTGCTCTATTGTTACTGGTGGAGTGTCTTTAATTTGTATATAATTTGCTTGTGCCGATATTACACTGTGTAACAGATGTCATACCGTTAATCAACGAAACTGTTGAACAACATTGGAGAGTACCTTTTTGAATTTTCCTTTTTTTTTGCAGAATTGTTCAGGCTATGAACAACAGTAGGACAGTTTTCTCCATGATATCTGAACCATGCAGGTAGAAAAAGCTCAGCTGTTCATGCATTAAATGTGGTTCAATCACGTGTAAAAATAACGTTATATCTTTATGATACAAATGTAACACAGATGCATCCTTCTCCTCAATAGCTTGGTTTAATGAATTGTATCTGGGAAAAATGCAGATAATGACACCATAATTTGATTTGGTCTGACTGCTAACCGAGTTATGACAGCATCAAATCAACGAATGTCTTTAATAAAATCATGATAAAATCTGTCCCGAATAAAAATATATGCTTCATGTGAAACATCGTAAACCCACACAGAGCCTCTGTTTTGTCTCTAAACATTTTATTAGAGTAGTTTGGAGCTAATGATCTTAGATTTTTAGTATCAATAGTCTTTTTATTCTGCTATACATGTAACGTTAACGGGAGGGGTCCAAAGTCCGTTATATATACCTTTTGCATCTATTTACCTGTACTTTATATAATACTACATGTAGGCCGATATACATTTTACAGGGCATGAATGGAAGATAAATCTGTCATTGTTATTAAAATTGACGTAAGGCTACTAAATATCATCAAGCCTCAAATATATGATTAAAAACGTAACTGTTTCACCAGATATCGTTTCTAGATCTGTCAGACCACCCACAATCAACAACTACACTATATGACGTAACGCCTGATACATAATTTACGACCAGGAACGAACTTGAACTAGCGTAGTATGACGTGATCAAACTCACCTCCATCCACCCTGAGCCCACCCGTGTGTTTATTGCCACATTTTACGACGAATATTTCCTTCCCGCGTCCCTTGTCTGTACAGTAACTCGTAGTTTCTCTTCCCCTCTGACGAGATTACCAAAGCCTTGTCTAAATGTCACTTCCGGCTTGCAGACCGAACCTGATGACCCGGTTTTGCTGCGCGGTATGTCCGCTTAACGATCTCGGCGGCATGAACCATTTTGGAGCGGGTATGAGGCCACAGCAAGTAAATTTTATGCACGACATCCTCCGCAGACCCCAAATCGGAAAAATACAAGGCGGGCAAAGAAAAAGATTCCTTCATTTTCAAATTTCGAGGTCATAATTTAGCCTTGATAAGCAAGAATTGAGCTAATGTCATCCATAAAAATTACTTGCTGTGGCCTAAGTTAAGTGTTTGAGATTTTTGTGAATGTATTCGAAGTGTGGAGAGGATTAAATGTTTCAATTTTCTTGTACACAAACAATACTTCTCTCACCTTGCTTGTTTGTAAGTCTCTCATTTCTATATCAACACTGCGCTCACTCGGCAGTTCAATCGGTGGTTTTAGGAAACGACCAGGCCTTATATGGCACCATGTACACCTCGTTATATATACCTTTTGCATCTATTTACCTGTACTTTATATAATACTACATGTAGGCCGATATACATTTTACAGGGCATGAATGGAAGATAAATCTGTTATTGTTATTAAAATTGACGTAAGGCTACTAAATATCATCAAGCCTCAAATATATGATTATAAACGTAACTGTTTCACCAGATATCGTTTCTAGATCTGTCAGACCACCCACAATCAACAGCTACACTATATGACGTAACGCCCGATACATTACGACCAGGAACGAACTTGAACTAGTGTAGTATGACGTGATCAAACTCACCTCCATCCACCCTGAGCCCACCCGTGTGTTTATTGCCACATTTTACGACGAATATTTCCTTCCCGCGTCCTCCCTTGTCTGTACAGTACGTAGTTTCTATCTCTTCCTCTGGCGAGATAATACCAAAGCCTTGTCTAAATGTCACTTCCGGCTTGCAGACCGAACCTGATGACCCGGTTTTGTTGCGCGGTATGTCCGCTTAACGATCTCGGCAGCATGTCAACCACTTTGGAGCGGGTATGAGGCCACAGCAAGTAAATTTTATGCATGACATCTACCGCAGACCCCAAATCTAATGCGATTGGGCGAAAAAAAAAACAAGGTGGGCAAAAGATTCCTTCATTTTCAAATTTTGAGGTCATAATTTAGCATTGATAAGCAAGAATTGAGCTTATGTCAGCAAAAATTACTTGCTGTGGCCTATTAAATTAGAGATTTTCGTGAATGTATTGGAAGTGTGTTCGCTTAACGATCTCGGCGGCATGAACCATTTTGGGGTACGTATAGCGTGAAGTGGATTCTTGTGAATGAATTATCATACATACACATATCTTGTGGCGTCGTGTGGTGTAGTGGTACATCATTGGACTATGAAACAGGGAGACCCGGATTCGATTCCGGGTCGTACCCGAACAAGTCCGAACATGCGCTCCGACGTTGTACCCTTGGGAAAGGTACTTTACACGAATTTCCTCACTTCACTCAGGTGAAAATGAGTACCTAGCTTTGGTTAGGGACGTCCCTCGGATAGGACGTTAAATGGAGGTCCTGTGTTTGGGAGAGCCACACCCCACGCACGTTAAAGAACCCACCACACTTATCGAAAAGAGTAGGGGACCTTCCCGGTGTGAGTGGTTCAAACATTACAGTCTGGTCTCAGGTTTGACATCTTTGAAGAGGTGATAGTCACCTGTTATGTCAATTCTTCCACTAATATGGTAAATCTTCATAAATACATAAACATTAATAAATACATAAATAAATACACAATATAAGTTAGATCTTAGTTCAAGCAAGGACATTATTGTCTGTATAATGTCCTTGGTTCAAGAAATCTTTTTTTGTGTACAGAATGGCTTTCTAGAAAACTTAGAAATTCTTACTGCAAGAATAATATTCTAGATCTAAGGGTATTTAGTTCAAGATACATTGGAAAAGAAATCTTACCACAAGAAAAATATGCTAAAATGCAGTTTCTTGACATTCTTGTCTCATGGACGAGATTTTTTTTCTTGGGTGAAAAATAATTTTCTCAGTGGAAGAAAAATTTTCTTCTCTGAAGAAAAACAAGATTGGCATTTTTGGTAGTATACACCTTAGGGTATGTCATGAACCCTTAATTATGTCAGTGTTGTTTATGGCAATATGCATGAATTGTTATAATGCAGGCTTCTTTATCTCTACAAGGAGGTTTACTTGGTCTGTATAAAGCTATGAGAGGTAACGTTAAAGAGCAACTCTTGACTTCATAACTTATAACTTTCAAAACTATTGTGATATATATTGTAAAATATGTGCTATTTTGTACATGCTATTAATCAACCGTCAGGGCACCAAAGACGATCTTACAACCAGTTTTCTCCACCCTTCTTGATTTTCCGTTCTTCTTAATGTTTCACTTAGTATCGTGCTGGTCCATTTTCTTGTATTATCCTCTATCTTCAACTTTTCTATTTCTATTGCTGATAAGAATCACCATGTCAAAAAAAAATTCAATAAAAAGTTTTATTGCAACATGTTCAAAGTGTACTTATATTTTTTATAATGCTTGTTTGTTAGTAAATGCCCTGAGATGACTTTTACATTGCTGTCTTGTGGTTATTGTCATTGTGGTCTTGTTTGCCGATTTTCCTTTTCATCAGTCATAGACAAGATCTGCAAGTCAAATGTTGACAAAATGTTAGCATGTAGATAGAATACATGTAATTATATTGCATCATGCTACAAAGTGACATACAATGTACCATAAACAATTACAACTAAAAAAAAAACTACATGTATTTCAGTGCCATTTCCAGGCCTTGAAATTAACTTTTCTTCCTATTGTCCTAACACTGTCCCAAAAGTAAAGTTAAATTGTCCCTCAGTGAGGATGAACTGTCCCATCCTGTTTTTTGGCTGACATTCTGATGTTGATCATTTTTCTATTGTCCTCAAAGTGTCTTTTCAGTTGTCCCAGCCTAAATTTTAGTGGTCAGTGGCCATTGGATCACCGTTAATTTCGAGCCCCGTATTTCCTATCAAGAGTGTATATGTGATGTATTGTATTTTCTCAACCATAAAATTTACAGGAAAATCAATGATCGAAGAACCATATTTTAAAAGTAAACTGGATATGATTTTGAAAACGTTTTCAAAATCATATCCAGTTGCTGTAACTACTTTTTGGCGTTTCGTATTACCTGGATGTCTAATCTTCATCGACGTAACCATATTTTAAGTTATTTAACCACACTTAAAACACATTTCAGCTTAAACCACATATATCTATCATTGATATCACAGCTCACCTTTTTCATTATATTCCACATTGCACAAATACAGCCCGTGTGCGGGTGCTACCGGTGCATTTTTAGGGAAAGCAGAGATTTTTCTAGCAGCCAACAAGGTGACGACATCTTTGGGTTGTAGTTTTCCTCTCCCAATGGCGACCAGGAGTCCTGTCATTCTTCTGACCTGGAATTGGAAAAAAAAAACACATTAGAACTAGACCAGTGTGATTTACATGTACATGTATTCATTTGAGACCTACTCACATACTAAATGTTATATAAAATATTGATACAAGATTTCTCAAGTTATGCTGTTCGCACACAGACACACAGAGATATACAGCCCCCAAAACATAGTCTTGTTGACAAAGTAATAACTTGGTCATGGTCAAGATTGGAGAATGTTTTCTTGCTGTAAGCTACATATACATGTACACTGTAACTGCTAAGATGAAAAGTGTTCAAGACATAACATTTCCTTGGAAATGAAAGCATTGAAGTAAAAGCCTTTCTCTAGTACATAACATACTATCAATGTGATGCTCAAATAAAAAAAGCATGTGTACTTGCCTGTCTGTACAGAAATGACCGGCTTTTAAAAATCAATTCCAGCACCTCCAATTCTCTGTAGAAAGGATATGAGAAATAGAGTTTTTAAGCCTCAGAAGTTCATTTGATGACCATACAATTTATATGTCAGTTGTAGCTGTTAGAAATTGTATAATAAATCTTGAAAAACACAATTTCAAAAGAATTTAAAAATATAACACATACAGAAAAGTACAAAAAAGCAACCTTTCAGATTATTGTTTTATGTACTGACATTTCACCAAGTTTGCTGTATTACTGCAGACATAATGAAGACTTTCTTACCTGCAGAAAGGATCATGTTCCTCTAACAAGCAAGACGCTCTCCGGATCTCTACAGCTTTCATGGTTTTGACGGGATCTTTGGTCCAGGTTTCTGGAGTTTTGTTTCGGAAAGTTGTGAAGTCGTGAGTTCCCAGGAAATGTTTTGCCGCTTCCTGCATGGCCTCGATATCTAATCTGGAGTAAGATGAAGGAATGGGTAAAAAGTATGTTGATGAAGGTTAGACATCCAGGCGATGAGATACACAAGAAAACAGTACCGGGTAGATTGTTTCTCAAGCAACTGGATAGATTTTGCAAACCTCTGCTTGGAGAGTTTCAAGTAGCATCCACTACTTTTTGTCAATGACTCAAAGTCAGTGTCTCAAAGTCAGAAAAAGATGAAAAGTATTGGGTGCTACGTGAAACGTCTGACAGGTTTTTAAAATCTATCCGGTTGCTTGAGAAACAATTAACTGTTGCTTGAGTAACTGTTTTCTTGTGAATAGGAGGAGTTGGTAAAAAAGCATTACAAACTTATTTTGGGCTGGATCCCAATATATCATTCCTGCACTATTAATTTGCGCATGTGCATGTTTCTTCCCTGTATCTGTATTCTGCACAGCTGATATACATTTGTACATGTAACCACCCTTCGGTGTAACACGCCAGCTTCGCAGGCACGCGATGTGGCAGCAGCTGGCTACATCACACTGAAGGGATTGCTGCACCTAACCTTTGAACATCTAACTCTAAACATGTTTCGTACCTCTCTATAACTCCCCAGCTCCTGTTGACCTTGGGAATGGGCAGTCTGGAGTGGTAGCAGCCTGACACCACCCTGTACACCTAGAGCTTTCGACCAGTCACTCTGGTCTTCCTCAGTAGACTGACCCAGCTAAGCTTGTCCAGTGTTGACGTCACACTCCAAAGAAGCCACGTGACAAGCCTCACTGGGTCAGTCTACTGAGGAAGACCAGAGTGACTGGTCGAATGCTCTAGGTGTTGGATCTTAAGCTTTAACTTCAAACATGTATATTCTCTCTGCACTATCATTTTCAACATTTTCATACCTCTCTATAACTCCCCAGCTCCTGTTGGCCTCAGGAATGGGCAGTCTGGAGTGGTAGCAGCCTGACACAACTCGGTACAGGTAGGTTCTTCCTAGCGCCTGATGCCGGGAGTTAAACGTGGGAGGCACCGGGCGACAGTTCATCAGCCTGGGAGGGGAAAAAAACACTACAAGCAAATGCATAATGTTTACCTTCCCATATGGTCTGCTCTGTTACTCAAACACATTCATATATAAGTTGAAAGGAGTTTAAATCCCTCCTGCTATAAAATTGCAACATGATGTAACCCAACACTGGTTACAGATGTCTGGTTTAACTTTAATTATAAGTCGTTGACCTTATTTGTTTGAAGAAGAAGAGAGTAAAGACACTCTTTTTACACAACCAAGTCTTTCATTCAGCCTGAACGTCTCGGTGACCGTCTGTCACCTTCCTCAGGGCAGTTCTGACTGGTTCACATTGCACTGCAGCACAGGTGTCGCTGCTATAGATGCATTCCCTAATGTACATTTACATACCGGTATCTACAAAAATGCGTGATTGGATTACAGGGAAATGTATTTAAAATGCCTAGATGCATTTCCCTGTAATCCAATCACTTGCTACTTGTCAGACGCTTCAAGTAGCATTCACAAGTTTTTGAGCAGCACAGAATAGAAGTGCCTGGAGGACTGTTTGCCAGGTTCCAGGCTCCTCGGAGCATGCAGACATGAGTGAGTGAGTGTACATGTACTAACCTAATGTCATTCCTGCCCATGTGTAGGAAGCTGCGGTTGACTGTGTGCACGATGGAGTCAGGCTCGTACGGCTCCCTGTCCTCCCCGTATATCAGGTCCGCGTGGGCTGTGTTACACAGGGCATGGACACCAGAGTCAGTACGGCTGGACACGTGGATGTTTGGAGGCTCCGCTAGGCGAAGCCGGAAAAACGCTTCCTGCAAACAAAAATATTCATGATATGGGTTAATTGACCCACTCCGAGTCCAAGGTATACATGGTGTTATACCAGGAGAGGCACCACCACTGAACGCACCACTCGTTCCAGTAACAAACTGACTCTTACCAAATGTAGAACTGAGCGGTACAAACAGAGTAGCGTCCCATATATGGTCTACCTCTTGAACAGTCATTGTTTGTCTTAGACACAGTATGTCAAAGACTTTGTGAATAATGATGTGGATATTTGTATCAATGCCTGTGTACTAGTAAATAAATGTGTAATGAATTTGGATGTACAACTGGATGTAATTCAGCTGTTGACTGCAAAGTCCACATTTTATGAATAAAAAAAAAAACATTTGATTGATTTATTGATATAGCCTGGTAATTTCCTATGACTTGTGACTGCGTTATTGAACCCATTGTCTGGAACAGTCTACCAAACACACTTTTTTTTCATGGCTTCTTAGTATGTTATTCTGATGTAAAAACCTTAGAAAAACACTCTGACAACAATTTAACATTTAGCAGGGTTATACATACACAGAGTGCATCTTCTATTCCACTGTACCCTGCAGCCCTCTCCACTGGTGTGACTTTTGGGACTCCTCTGGAACAAAAAAAAATTGTATTTGGTTAATCACTGGAGTATATATGACTGCTAAATGGCAGAAAGGTAGCCTGGATGCCAGACTGTTGTCAGGGCCAGTACATCAGTTACACCCTGTTGCTGAGGGTCTAAGGCTAAGCAAGTCCTTGGTCTTAGAGATGTCTGTGGTGAAATTTCCTTGGGGACATATTGGCCTTGGAGCTGAGGAACTAGCCTGTATACTGGCCCTGGCAACATTCTGGCACTCAGGCTAGCCCTGGAGCCGAGGAGCTAGTCTGTATAGTGGTCTTGGCGACAGTCTGGCACCCAGGCTAGCCCTGGAGCTGATGAGCTAGCCTGTATTTAAATAAAATTTGGTCCTGGCGACAGTCTGGCACCCAGGCTAGGAACTAGCCTGTATATACTGGCCCTGGAAACAGTCTGACACCCAAGCTAGAATAAAGGAGGTTGCTTGGATTGACCATAACACGCACGAGGTACGTATAACTCTCATATCGAATCACAGAAACTGTAATATCTTCATCATATCATGCTGCTGCCCCCCTCCCCCTAACTTCATCATCATCTAAAAGCAGACGACGAAAACTATGATTACCTGAAGTGTGTTCCTAGGTATTGGAATTGCAGTAGGTACCGGACCATGTTCAGACAATAACCAAAAAGCCCAGCTAATTTAAACTTTTGACAACAAAACAGGAACGCTCCACGCAAGACCACGAGATACGAGATAGCATAGCAGACGGCAAGGAGGTCAGAGGGCAAAGGTGAAATAGGCTGTTCCAAAAAAAATGGAGGGGGGTGAAGTGCATGGATTTTCTTCTTTTTGTCCCCCTTTCATTATTGTCCGAGTGCCTTGACCCCCTTTCAATTTATCCAAATCCAGGGTTTTTACAATCTAAATTCAACAAAATCCACACCCACTAAACCCTCTATGTAAAATCCGACCTCTTCAACCCCCCTCCTCAGTTATTCTTTTTGAACAGCCCAATTTCCCGCCTTCGGATGATAACATTTGAGTCAGTCTTCGATCGTCAGAGATCGGGCATTTTGGAAGATCAAGTTCATACTCAACTGACGGACAGACAAAGCGATGGCTCGATGAAGATTTCTACTGTTCCCTCAAGGACCTTTTGAAGGTGCTCCATGCAGTTTTTAGGTTTTGAAAAGTGAATTTTTCCAAGTCAGATCGAACTTATCTAACTTCTAAGTATCATGCTAATTAGTTGAGACAACCTATCCCAAATGTTATATCGACATTCATGGAGAAATAAAAATACCGAAGATTGTGACAGAAAATGGTTAATGTTAGGAACCTGGGCTGATTTTTGGGGTACCACTCAAAGAAAATAAAGGAGTCATGTTGGGGCTTATATCTACACTGTTCTATGAAACTTGAAATAATGCCCAAAGTATGAAATACAGATCTATATGCAAACATGCTAATGTGTTGTATGATGTCAATATCATCTGTTTATCAGCTGGTGTGTTAAGCCGTAAGGCGGTTATACCGGCTATACAGGTACAGATACAGATACAAATCATACAGATTGCCTTTATTTCCAGTTTTGCTGCCCTGAAATTGCATTGGATGCCTTTGACAGACACAGACATTGACATCATGGCGTGTGTTCCATTGGGGACGGTAGCTGCCCAGCTCCTGTTAGAGGTGAAACATGTGCACAGCAGTAACGGCTGCCTGTCAGACGACCTTCTGTCAGCCCTGCAGGACGTGTTCGGCACTTCTCTGCTGTCAGCGCTGGACATAGTGGACCGGAAAGGTTGTTGTTGCTGTTGTTGTCTCTGCTAGTCTCAAAGCAGTCATCACTCACTCACTCACTCACTCACTAGTGACTCACTCACATGCTTGCTCACTCACTCACTCACTAGTGACTCACTCACATGCTTGCTCACTCGCTCATTTATTCACTCATTCACTCATTCACTCTCACAGACACACACTCACTCACTGCCAGTCACTCGCTCATTCATTTGCTCATTCACTCGCGCTCACTCACACTCGCTCGCTCGCTCGCTCACACTCACTCACTCACTCACTCACTCACTCACTCACTCACTCACTCACACTCACTCACTCACTCACTCACTCACTCACACTCACTCACTCACTCACTCACTCACTCACTCACTCACTCACTCACTCACTTACTCACTCACTCATTTGGTCAGTCCCATAGCTCATCAGCTGTAGGAGTCCACATTTTGCTTCTTCCAAATGTTTGGTCGGCTGCTAGTTAGACTCTTCTTCTTCCTCTTTCTCTTTTCTGGTTTCTTTACCTATATTGACATATTTTCACATTCCTTTGGACATTTATTTTTGTATGATGATTTATGACTCAAATTTGCCTTGTACTATTACTAGTATTAGGAATTAACCATTTGTTTTTTGGTTTTGCGCAGTTTAGTCATAGTCTGCTTAGACAGTCTGACATACACATTCCTGATCTTTCCTCATTCCAGGAGTGACTCACGTCAGTTCTCCCAGTGGGAGACACCTGTACCTGGTGGTGGGGAGCTCGGGAAGACTGTACACCTGTCTCCCATCGGGACTGTACTGTCCGTGCACGTATTTCACCTATGCTGCTCTGATGAAGGGGGAGGCTCTGGTGTGTAAGCATGTACTAGCCGTGCAGCTCTCACAGGCCATGGAGGCGTGCCAGGAACTAAATGTCTCAGACGAAGAACTTGTTGGTCTTCTGATGAACAAAGATACAGCTACAGCTCAGTGACGATGGCGCTTATTATAGTACCAGTGCACGTGTTCTGTTCGTGTGACATGTTATAGACTTGTGGTTCTGGCATCTATCATCTATGTTGGCCCCAAGAATGTCCCAAACTCCAAAGAGCGCCAAGTCCACAAGAGGTGATACCGGAGGTAACACCTTTCTTCTGCCATTAGGCCCCTGCACGTACTTCACCTATGCTGCACACATGAAGGGGGAGGCTCTGGTGTGTAAGCATGTACTAGCCGTGCAGCTGTCACAGGCCATGAGGGCGTGCCAGGAACTAAACGTCTCAGACGAAGAACTTGTTGGTCTTCTGATGAACAAAGATACAGCTGCAGCTCAGTGACGATGGCGCTTATCATAGTACCAGTGCACGTGTTCTGTTCGTGTAACAGGTTATAGAGTTGTGGTTCTGGCATCTATCATCTGTGTTAGTCCTCTTCCCTCAATAATGTTCCAAACTTCAAAGAGTTTTAAGTCCACTACTAGTAGGGAGATGATAATACCCATCTTCTAACTAAGTTCCACCATCAGGCCTGTACTGTCCGTGCACGCATTTCACCTATGCTGCGCTGATGAAGGGAGAGGCTCTGGTGTGTAAGCATGTACTAGCCGTGCAGCTCTCAGGCCATGGTGGCGTGCCAGGAACTAAATGTCTCAGACGAAGAACTTGTTGGTCTTCTGATGAACAAAGACACAGCTACAGCTCAGTGACGATGGCGCTTATCATAGTACCAGACTACCAGTGCACGTGTTCTGTTTGTGTAAAATGTACTAGACCTGTGGTTCTGGCAGCTATCATCTATGTTGGCCCCTGGAATTATGTCCCAAACTCTAAAGAGCGTGGAGTCCACAAGAGGTGATACCGGTGGTAACACTTTTCTTCTGCCATCAGGACTGTGTACTGTCCCTGCACGTATTTCACCTATGCTGCACACATGAAGGGGGAGGCTCTGGTGTGTAAGCATGTACTAGCCGTGCAGCTGTCACAGGCCATGGAGGCGTGCCAGGAACTAAATGTCTCAGACGAACATCTTGTTGGTGTTCTGATGAACAAAGACACAGCTCATCAATGATGATGACACTACTAGTAGTCCAGTACCAGTACATGTATGTATCTGTTCTGTTCTTGTAAGGGGCTAAAGGGCATCCCAATAAACTGAAACTTTAATACAGTTGTGGTTCTGGCATCTAAGTTGGCCCTCTGTCCCCTCAAGAATGTCCCAAACTCGAAAGAGCGCCAAGTCCACAAGAGGTGATACCGGTGGTAACACCTTTCTTCTGCCATTAGGATTGTGTACTGCCCCTGCACGTACTTCACCTATGCTGCGCTGATGAAGGGGGAGGCTCTGGTGTGTAAGCATGTACTAGCCGTGCAGCTCTCACAGGCCATGGAGGCGTGTCAGGAACTAAATGTCTCAGACGAAGAACTTGTTGGTCTACTGATGAACAAAGATACATCTCAATGAAAATAGCACTACTACAGTACCGGTACAAACATATTTGTTTTATAAATACCTGTTCAACTTGTAGTACAGATTCCATTAGTGAGTGACACTGACGAAAAGTAGTGGATGCTACTTGCGAAATGTCTTACAGTTTTCAAAATCTATCTGGCATCGTCAGGGTGGCCCTCTTCCTCCTAGAGTGTCCGAAAGATTTTTGTGTCCACTAGAGGTGCTAACACTCATCATCTACCATCGTTTATACAGACATAATTTTGGATAGGTACCTGTTCAACTACAGATTCCGTTAGTCGCCGACAAACGATTTTACTTGAATCTACTACACACATGTCGGTAGATTGACCAAACCAAGCAGGTTCAATCAAATGACTGGATCTCCTTGCCAAAACCAAATGACGGCTGCTGCAGTACTATCCTGAGGTGTAAGAGGTCGTAACATTATCTCTCGCAAGTTCATTCACAACACACACATGCAGAGAGAGAGACTCACATAAACAGATAATCACACACACACACACACATTCACACACGCACATAATCACACACACACATATAATCACACACACACACACAGAAACAATCACTTAGACACCTATGCACACACAAATACAGACACACACAAACACGCTTTAGATGACAACCCTTCTTCGGTTCAGTTGCACCTACATGTAGGTAATGGCTAATTTGACAGTGATGGCTTTTCATTAGTTTCATGTTCAACATAGCAAATTGATAGCATGCATAAAGGGGTAGCTGTGTTTCGGTTTACTCTCCAAGCAGAGGTTGTGGGGGAATGATCGTTAGCTTTTTACATATGGCCGTTTTTTTGTCGCTACCCCCACCGTCGGTGGCCGACGACCTTCTCTGGCTAATGGATACTGCCTGGCTAATTTGATACTGTCTTTTTTCCAACGAAAGGGATCTGCTTGGAGATTATTTAGGTTCTGACTAGGAGTATATATGTATCACTAGTCTATTAAGATTTATTATTAATTAAGGTACGCGAAGAGTAGAAATCAGCACCTTTCAGGGTGGCCATGAAATCTCCCTCCGTCTCACCCCATCCCCATAACGTCCCGACATTTCAGATTCCAACAGATGACCTTTCCGTTATCGGAGCGCTCTCTTTCGACGGAAAGGTCAGCCGACAACGGCCCCGCAATTATACATGGGGAATTCTGACGCGTGGAGTTAGCTCCGGGTCGCCGGGTTGACACAAAAGGTCAAGCCGTGTTATTGCGTGCCGGGAGGCGGGAGAATGGCCAGTATCAATGGCTGTTTCTGTGGATGATCATTAGTTGTGACAAGCATTGTGTAGTCTGAGGCCATAAAAGACCACTAGGATATTGGGTTAGTCTTCTGTCAAACTAGTTTTCTTTTCTGTCGTTCAGTGACCTTCTTTCCATGGTTCATAAAATTCATAACAGTTTATTTTCCCTTTCTTTATATACGTACTTTCGTTGTCGAGCATCATGTAGTCCCGTGGCTTAAAACACCATAAAAGACCACTATGATATTGGGTTAGTCTTCTGTCAAACTAGTTTTATTTTCTCTCGTTCAGTGGCCTTCTTTCCATGATTCATAAAATTCATAACAGTTTATTTTCCCCTTCTTCATAAATATTATACTTTCGTTGTCGAGCATTATGTAGTCTGAGACTTAAAACACCATAAAAGACCACTGTGATATTGGGTTAGTCTTCTGTAAAACTAGTTTTCTTTTCTGTCGTTCAGTGACCTTCTTTCCATGATTCATAAAATTAATAACAGTTTATTTTTCCCTTCTTTACATACTTTCTTTGTCGAGCATTATTTAGTCTGTGGCTTAAAACACCACAATGATATTGTGTTAGTCTTCTGTTAAACTGGTTTTCTTTCTTTCATTTCCCTCTTTCAGCGGACTTATTTTCATGATTCATAAAATTCATAACATTTTATTCTCCCCTTCTTTATATACTTTCTTTCTCCACCATTTTGCGATGTACGGATTTGACCGTATCTTAACGTTCCAGACATATCTAGGAAGCGTTTTACGTCCTTTCTATGTGCCAATTGCTTCCTGCCTTTTTTTGTTCATGGGCTATCTTAGTATGACAAGATATGATGGTGATGATTATAGACAATGCCACTATCTGCCGTTGTGCACAATGCCGGTATTCCAGGAAATGATATTGAATGATGTGGCCAGATATGCTTTACTACTCTTCAAGCAGACCTTTTAGTGCCTGCAATACAGTATTAAATTCATCAAATTGGCAAGACAGTATCAAATTGGCCAGACAGTATCCGATTCGCCCGTCGAAGCAAGGGTATTATATGTATAGTGCACTTGCTCAAAGTAAAAAAAAAAGATACGAGTACATAAAAGAAACCCCAATAAAAACGCTCCCAAAACACGTCAAAAATAAGCCTAAGCCCCAAGCTCTGCTTGGAGAGTAATACTTTTTTTAAAAATAATCTTTATTATTATTTCAAAAGCAAAGAAAACAGAGGACATGTTCACATAGTATTACAAGAATAACAAATACCCAGAGATATTTTTCAAACAATACATTAGTATAACAATTTACCATACAGTGGACCCCATTTCAACATATGTTTATCCATTTTCCCATAGTTTTTGTGCTGTCACATACTCTGGTGGAGAGTAATACTTTGCACCAACAATACTGGTAATCAAACAAGTTTCAATGTGTTTCAAGTGGGCTCATCCTTTACGGGGTCTCGTTATCTGATAATTGCCCGGTTTTTACTGTTGTCCTTCAGAGGGATTGCCAACTGCACCCTACCCCATTAGGCCACACCGTCTTAATTTTATCCTCTGAAGACTTCCTAACTAGTGCACGCGGGCGAATAAAAAAAATTCCGGCCAAAAATTAAAAAAAAATGCTACTAAAACTACAGGAATCATGCAAAGCTGGTGTTGTGAATTTGCAGCAGTAAAACGCGATGTATACGACAAGCCGGAACATGCTGGCTTTTTGCGGAATTTATAAATCGACACTATACGTATATACTTGAGTTCTTGAGTCGTGGAGCTTCGGTAACCTGGGTGCCCGGCTCCGTATTGTACCATGGACTATCCAGGCCTAGAGCCAGGCCTAGAGCCAGGTCGATGGACGTGATATTTTTTTTTGAGAACAGGAGAAAATCAATGCGCGCGTGGATGTCATCCATAAAATTAAGGCGGTGTGGCCTAAGCCAGGGAATCCCCCTGGGCCTTGTTACACCTTTCCGCATTTTACAAGGGCGCACGGAAGGTAACGAGGGGTCAGCAAATTCCCCACATGATTTTATCAAGGACATTTTATTCCTATCTAATGTATAAAACCAGTGTTAATAAAATCAGAACCAATTTCTTATCAACCGTAGATATAGTAGTTATCTGTCCCATTTGTGATGAATATTATCGAGATACAATGAGGGACGTCGCGGATTTCAATACCCTACTTTACTTTTTATTCACCAGCACCAGAGTAGTGAATACGAGGACAAAATTTGTCGCCAATATACTGGTATTTCGTGGATTGCCATGTATAACCGTTTCTTTCTATACTTTTGTGGTCGATCCTTGACGTTGATATAGTTTTTACCGTCCCCCAAACGTAGTAAGGAAGCAAGGAAGGAAACCGCGTAACACGTTCTAGTTTTGTGGGACTTTTAAGATAATACTTCACGTTGAT